TATAATTCTGATTTTCAAAAAAAAAAAGAGAAATTGAAAATTGGGATTTTGTCCAGGAACGGAGGAATATTGATGGGATTTGATATTTGCCGCAATAAATTTTCGAGTTTCTAATTTTCTTATAATAATAGTATTAATAATAATAATAATAATAATAATAATAATAATAATAATAATAATAATAATAATAATAATAATAGTAATAATAATAATGATAATAATGTGCAAGTCTAGTGAAAGATTGATTTATAAAATTATCTAAGAACTTTTGGCCACCCTATATATCGTTTACGATATATCAGTGTGATCGCGGGGATGCAAATATTAATGCGTGTGATTGTTATTTAGATCAATGCTCTCTGCTATCGTTCGGAAAAAAAAATGAATGAGAGAGAGAGAGAGAGAGAGAGAGAGAGAGAGAGAGAGAGAGAGAGAGAGAGACAAAAAAGAAAAAAAAATTAAACGGTGTTTCAGTATGGCATAAAAAAAAAAGAAAAAAAAAAAAAAAGAGATATTTTACAGTAAATACGTACAATGCATTATTAGAATAGATATATTTATATTATTATTTATAATTACTTATTACTAAACTCTGTTGTTCTCTTCGGATGATATTCAAGGATATAATTGAAAACGCTTCTCCTTTTGCATGAATCTCATTTTATTTTACTAATTTAGTTATATTAAAAAATTCAATTTATACACTTTCCTTATATCCTTTTTTTTTCTTTTTTTCTGTTTTTTTTTTTTTTTCCCCCTTTACTCAATCACGACTGATAATTATTGACTGAGAATTGTAGAAATATATTTTCCTTTTGCGCAGATCTAATATCGTTAAGTTATTTTGTTATTAACATTTTTTTTTTTTTGCAGAATTCAAAATTATTATCATATCGTTGTATAACTTTCAATAATTTCCTCTCTCCTTTGCGCAGATCTTTTAATGTCTTTATATTATTTCATTATCATTGTGTTCGAAGTGCAAGGTTATCATATCGCTCTGTTCAAGTTCTTCCGTCAAGATCACTTAGATTATAGCAAAAAACAAAAAAAATAAAATAAAAGAGTATATATATATATATTATGTTTCACGAAAAAGAAAAAAAAGGGAGTTTGTAATGAATTAATGCGAATTAAGGCTGAACAAAAAATAATCGTTGCATAATGCTTGTCAATGGACCTGACATTTCTATTAACCTGCACAAAAAAAAAAAAAAAAACAAAAAAATAATCGTCTGCTTTTTTTTGCAAGAGAAATAAATAATATAAGCATACGAAAAATATAAAAAGAAATAGAACGTATTTGGGAGTGAAAACAACAATGCCACAGAATAATATTATTCAGCTTTTATAATATAATACTCGTAGCTTTTTCATATGGCTATAAGGATCTCACGTTTTTTTTTTTTTTTTTTTTTTTTTTTTCTAATTATTAATCCTTTACATTTCGTGCGATATGAAAATGATGCATTTAAAAAAAATAAATAAATAAAAAAATAATAAAGAAAGACAGGAAAGAAAAGAAAAGGGGAAAGAAAAAAGAAAAGGCAAAAAAAAAAAAAAAAAAAAAAAAAACATATTCCTTAAAATTATCATACTTTAATATATATATATTTTTTTTTTAATTAGCTATATATATATATATATAGTTATTATCTCTGATGCATAATTGTTTCATGGCAGTGTATGTGAAATGAATTTCATACCCCGTTATAACTTTCAAAGAAAATTGGTTAATGAAACTAGATCAACTTATATTGGAATGAACAATTATACCTCAAAAGTTTAATACGACTTTATCACGACACACATATATTTATCGCGTTCAATTTTTTTATACCTGATCCTCGTGATCCGCGCTAAGTTTAAGAAAGAAAAAAAGTACAATAAATTGTCATATAGCTTGCTCTAACGATTTGAAAAATATGTTAATGTAAACATCATTGAAACGACCAAAATATTATATTAAACATTGTACATATAATAAGTAGTTAAACTTAAATTAATTGTATATAAAATATCTACAAAAGAGCCTATTGCTTTTCTTCCTCTTCTTCTTCTTTTTTTTTTTTTCATTTTGTATCATTAAATACCTAATTGATCTTTCTCTTTTTCTCTATGTGGAATAGACATGACATATTTTCCATAACAAATTCACAACTATTTAAAAATACGTGATTCTTTTTTATTATTACTCTTTCTATTACTCTTTTGTATTTTCTCACATCCTCTTTCTCTTTTATATATATATATATATATATATATATATATATGTGTGTGTGTGTGTGTGTGTGTGTGTGTGTGTGTGTGTGTGTGTGATGTACAAATGTATGTATATCTTCATCTTTGTACAATTTTGAGAATTTACACATTATTCTGAAGAAATATGAAAAATAACAAGACCGGAATATAAGAAATAATTATAAAAACATAATGGGGAAGAGAAAAAGGGTGGAGGGAAAGAAAAAAAAAAAAAAAAAAAGAAAAAAAAAATAAAGAAAAAAAAAGGTGATAGACATAGGCACTATTCTTTATATAATAAATTAGAATAAAATAAAAAAAGAGTCATACTTATCAGAAATAAAATTAAATGAAGACTTGCTCGCTTGCTAAACTATCTGCGAATGGTGCTACTATAACCCTTGTAGCAAAATAGAATGTTAAACCAAAAGAAATGGAGATTGGTAATGCAGGTAATGCTTTCTTGAATATCGCCAAAAGCAGCAGTGTCAAGCAGAGTCCCTAAAAATATATTAATATTTTCATAAAAATATCACTGATGACTATAATTACAAATATATACATATACATATATATATATGTGTGTGTATGTATGTATCTATATAGACGTACTATGAGTATGGCAACAAAGCATGCTAAAGTTGTATTCCAATCGCCATAACTTGATGCTTTTCCAACAAGTACGCTATAAAATATGAAATCACCAAGGCCCAATTTGACACCGCGTTCCTCCTCAGTAACTGGGACTTGTTGTTGGGATTGTGATTCCGTAGGACGATTTTGACGTTGTCTAGAATCGTCTGTTAATGCTACCGAGTTTTCAAGCACTTCTTGGGCACGTCTCGCGCTACGATCCCCTATGTTAGAAAAAAAAAAATACAACTGTAGAATAATTTTTATGTATGTACCTCGGTGTAATTACCATGCGTTTCTATCCATTCGAGTGTGAAACCACCTTCTTCTGCATCTCCTGATGCAGGATTATTTTGATTATCCGTTCCTGTGCGAGTGAATGATACAGCCGTAGTTTCTCTACCCGTAGCATCACCACTGGCCATTGTCGCTGCTTGTACATATCCGGCATAAGTTACGGTGTGTACAAACGTATACAAAATCGTTGATGAGTATATGAGAGCTGGAAAAATGGATTCGTTTCTTTCTTGTGCCGTTTCAACTAAAATTCTTAATGGTCCTTTCGGTGATAAAACAGCTATCAAATCTGAAATAAATAATTATCCATAATATATATTTATTATTTTCGTTTGAACAATTAATAGAAATAATAAGATTAACAATATTACATAGACATTACCCCAAATACTTATTACAGCTAAAACTGCCCATACTGTCCATTCGGGTAAATATTTAATAAAAACAAGAGCCATCAAAGCAGAAATGAAAATTAAATAAGCTTGTTGAAGTTGTAAAGGTCCTTGCCAATGAATGCATATCATTCCAACCATCCCAAAATTCCATAAACCTATTCCTAATGTAAATAGATCCATTGGAATGTTATATGCTTTTAAAACTTGCCTATAAGAAATGAAGAGATAATTCATGAAATAATATTTGTTATTGATTAAATATATATTTATAATTGATAACTTACTCGCAATAAAGTACGGAAAACATTGATAGCAATAATAATGAACTTATAATTAACCATACGTGTATAGCTTTGTAAAATTTATATTTATACAAGATAATAAGTATAACGGTCATGCATACTATGATGCTCATGAGTATTAAGGAATTGGCAAATGCCTGCCATGCTTTTGTACTTGTATCGGAGCTATCTTCATGAAATGGAGTATAAACTCTGTAAAATAGAAATTATTAAATCAATTGATATTTAAAGAAAAATTTAATATTAAAATATAATTATGAATGGATTTTATATCACTTACAGATACATCCCCTTAGTCGTATAGAAATTAACAGAACTGATTGTAGCCACTACAACTAGCATACAAAGGGAAACAGGTACAAACAGTTTAATGACATGTGCAGCTCCATATTTTAATTCCTCTTCCTCTTCATCTCTGTAATGTCTTTGTCTTTGTTGATTAGCAGAACCTGATGTACTTCTTCTACTAGAACCACTTACATTCGATGTACCTCCTACCTCTACCTGTACCTCAGGAAGTCCATTTCCTAGCTAAAAATAACAATCAATAATATTATAAATTAAATGAATAATTTATAGAAACTTTAAATGTTTACCTCTTCGTTTCCTACTCTTGATCGTCTCTTTCGTCGTTCATTGACCAAACTTAGGTCATCTGAACGAGACTCTGCAACGTGACCGTCCATCAGGCTTGTGTACTCGTCTACCGAATCGTAATCACTCTCAGACATTCATCAAAATCTATTATTCTAAATAAATACAAATAAAGACTTGTGATTGATTACTATTTCTTTCTATATAATAGTTTTCCTTTTTTTTATTTCTTTTTTTTTTTTTTTCGTGTTTTTTTTGTGACCTTATACCTTTGACGTGTGCAGAGAAAGCTAAAAATTCCACGAATGAATCACTAATGCTCCGAGTTGCTCCAAAATAAAAATATTTTTTCTCGATATAGTTAAGCTTGAAAATAGGTGATTTTATGAAACACACAATGACGGTGTACGCGATACGCTTTAGTTTACACCTACTTTATATCTCGACTCTCATTCATCGCTAATATATAACTATTAATTAATAACGTCATCTTACGTTTTTCTTATAATTTTATCACTTTATCAGCAAATTTTTTTTCATCGACATTAACACTCGAAAGTATACTCATCCATAAGCTCACGTTGATTTTTTTTTCTTTGTTTCTTTTCTTTTCTTCTTTTTTTTTTTTTTTTTTTTTATTTTTTTATTGACACGATAGAGATACAAAAACTTAAGCAACGATGACAATGGCTGACGTTAAACGGTGAACTGCAACAACGCCTCTGTTGGTTATATTATGAACTATTTTGTTATACTTTTTTATCGACAAAGCTCATTTATCTACGATCGATAATTTAAAAGGGATTTAAAGAAAAAAAGCCCTCGAAATTTTGAATTATTCATATAACAAAAATTTTAATAGATTTTAGAGATTAAAAAAAAAACAAAAAAGTCCATATACCTTTATAAATAATTTTGATAATAAAAAATCGTAAAAGAAACTATAAGTATCTTTATGCCATCGTACTTGTTGCAAGTTCACGTCTTATATAATACAAAAGATCACGATTTAAGATTATTTTTAATAAAAACAGTTTATAATAAATGTAAAAATTATAAAGATGTATACATTCCTATTAAGTATCTTAATGTCCTTATAATAGATAATAAATTTTGATCCTTTTATTGATAACAAGCTGGTCCTATTTCGATAGAGAAAATCTGATCAGGTAGTCCAATATCTCGCAGAGCTATGTCTATTATAGGAAGTCTTACTGGTTTATCCGAATTGTATGAAACAATAGTTTGACTCCAATAATTATGACGTAACTAGATAAAAATATGAATTATTTTATATTGATATGTAAATTAATAAAATAAATTAATTATATATATATATAATTGTTTGATAAAGTTAATTATTAAAAACTAATACGTACTCTGCATTCGTCTATGATCATATCATATCGCAAACGTTGATTACCACGTGGCATTATTTCAACATCATTCCAAGCAAGAAGTTTCATACTTCTTCTATAACTCTTCCTTTCAGAATCAAAATATGCTACACTATTTTTGCAATGATAAGTTATATTCTGTTGGGCATGTTTCGAAAGCAATTGCAAGAAACTTATTTGATTGCTGTCTGCTTTATACATGATCTAATAATAATAATAATAATAATAATAATAATAATAATAATAATAATAATAATAATAATAGTAATATATTTAAGATATATAATGATTAATAATGAAATATATTACCTTTGCATTTCCTATTTCACTCAACCAAACTTCTTGTTGTTCACCGATATAATTGGTCTCTCCTGTACGAGATGGATTTGGTAAAATACAAGTTGCATGTTTCTCAGAATCACAATAAACTAAAATTGCATCTCGTGTGTCACCTTCATTCGGATCAATCCAATATTCTCCTAAAAAATATATATATATACTCTTGTAAAATATATCTCTTTGTATATATACGTATGTATGAACTTAGTACATATATGTATATCTCCAATAAATTCTTACCAGATATCTTTTCTGGATAGGCAACAAACAAATCTCTGCAAGTTTTAGCTGGCGAATTTTTCTGTCCATCTGGTTTAACTAATTTTTGAAATGACGATTTTAATTGCTCATATGCCTTTAATACAAGATTTTTACGTTCCTCTTCCGTAATATCTTTTCCAAATAATCTTGTTGGTTCGTCGCCTATTAATGGATCCGGTCCTTTTGTTTGACTTTGTCCTATAAATAAATAACTTATATCAAATTGTTATATATTAAAATTTTGTTCTTTTCAATTTGTACTATTCCATATTTTTATTACTATCGCATATTTTTACGTATAACATGAAAAGATTGAGTTTTAATTTGAAAAGTAAATATTATATGATACCTAAGAAAGCTGCTAACGAGGTTACGTCATATCCTAATCCAAGTTCTCCAGGAGGTCCAGGTGGTCCTGGTGGACCAGGTGGACCTGGTAATCCATGCCGACCTTCTTCTCCAGGAGGACCTCTTGGTCCTGGATTACCAGTAATCCCAATAATTCCAGGATTTCCATCTCTACCAGGACTTCCTCTAATACCAGTCTCTCCGTCTTTTCCTGGTAAACCAGGCATTCCTGGCATACCTTTATCTCCAGGAATACCTGGTGATCCAGGTAAACCTTGTAAACCATTGAATCCACGATGTCCTTTAGCACCTTTCGCACCTTCCTCACCACGTTCACCTTTTGCACCTTGTATACCCGTTGGACCAGGCTTTCCTCTAGCACCCTAACGATAATTATTTATTCAAGAAATTTTTTCTCTAAATTTATATTTTATTAACAAAATATAATGATAAACATGTTATATCAAAGATATAAAATAAATATACCTGTTGTCCTTCTACACCTTGTGGTCCTGTTTCTCCTTTTGGACCACGTTCTCCTATAGGACCGGATAATCCAGCATTACCCGGAGGTCCCTATATATTATTATACAAATTGATCAATCCATTGAGAAACTTTGACAAATAAATTAATCAAAATTCGATTAGAACTTACTGGTATACCAGGAGGTCCAATTGGCCCTTCTATTCCAATAGCACCTGGTGGTCCTTTGTCACCAGGCCGACCACTTATTCCAGGTGGACCTGGTTTACCAGAAGGCCCTTCAGGACCTTGTTCACCGATAGGACCAGGAGGTCCAATTGAACCCGTTAATCCTGGTGGTCCAGGTGGTCCTTCTACTCCTGGTTTTCCTGGTAAGCCTGTTTCACCCTAACGATATATAATAATATAATTACATGTTAATGAATATAATGAAATAAATATAAATATTATTGAAATAATATTCTTACTGTAGCTCCGCGTATTCCTCTAGCACCTATTAGTCCCGTTGGACCAGGAAGTCCTGGCAAACCACGTTCTCCTGGTAAACCTTGCAGTCCTTGTGATCCTATAAAACCTGGTGGACCTTGTGCTCCACTTTCACCTTTAATTCCGTCTGCACCAGGAATACCAGGATTTCCCATAGAACCAGGATTCCCTGGTCTTCCTGTATCTCCAGCATTACCTTTAATACCAGGCAATCCAGGTGGTCCTGTAGGACCAGCTAGGCCAGGCAGTCCCTAAAATAAATCAGATATCAATCGAATTGATATTTATATTTATATGGCAAAAGAAAATAAAAATAAAAAAGAAAACATCAAATATTTACGGGTTGTCCGGTTATGCCTGCTGGCCCAGGGGGGCCTATAGAGCCTATTTCTCCTCTAGGACCAGGTTCTCCTCGTATTCCTTTTGCACCAGTCAGGCCTGTTAAACCTGGTGGTCCTACTTCACCTGGACTACCTGTTAATAAATATGATGAATAATATATGTCTCATTTATTTTATAATATTTGACGTAAAATGTTTTATTACCAGGCAATCCTGAATTCCCTTGATCTCCTTTCGAGCCTGGATAACCACGATCTCCTTTTAACCCTGGAAGTCCAATAAGTCCTTGCGGTCCTGGAAATCCTTGCAATCCCTGTAAACCTTGTGGTCCTCTTTCTCCTTGCGCACCCGGAGCTCCTGTCTCACCTGGCGGACCTGGCAAACCTGTATCTCCTCTTTCAGCTGATTCTCCAGGAAGCCCTGGAGGACCAACTAGCCCTTGCGGGCCCCGTTCTCCAATACGACCCGACGGTCCTTCAGGTCCAACTGGACCCATCATTCCTCTTTCACCCTTCTGTCCAGATTCTCCAGGTAAGCCACGTATTCCAGGTAAACCCACTAATCCTGATGGACCAGGATGTCCCATATCTCCTTTAATCCCAGGAAATCCAGGAAGTCCGTCGACACCTTGAACGCCTGGTTCTCCTCTAGGTCCTGTCAATCCTGGTGCTCCAATTAGTCCCCTTTCACCGGGAAAACCACGCTCGCCTCTATTTCCAGAAGAACCCGTGGGACCAGGAGGTCCTTGAACCCCCATTTCACCATCTTTACCTGGTATTCCAGGATTGCCAGCAACTCCAGGAATACCCTATGTAAAATAAAATATTTATTATTATTTTGATTAAATTGATTATATTAATAATTATACCGTAATTAAAAAAATACTACAATATTAACCTGAAAACCTCTAGGCCCTGTTAATCCCTGAGATCCTCTTTCCCCAGTACTACCAGGTGGTCCTGGTGGGCCTTGTAATCCTGGAGAGCCTTCTTTACCTGCGTCACCTCTAGGCCCGGGTGGCCCAGGATTACCAGGCTCACCATCTTTGCCAGCTTCACCTGGAAAGCCTTTCTCTCCTGGAGAACCTAATGGTCCAGGTAAACCTTGTGGTCCTTGTGGACCTTGTTCGCCAGGTTTCCCATCTGCACCTTGAATTCCACGTTCTCCTACATTACCTGGTTTACCAGGTGAACCAGGACGACCTATTACACCGCGTGCACCCTGTTACATTAAAAATCTGTTACTCTTCGTGTTACATATAAATCTGCTTTTTCATTATATATATATATGTACGTACGTACATATGTACATCTATGTACGTACTTGTATTCCGGGAGATCCCGGACGACCTGGATCTCCCATTGCTCCTTTAAGACCTATAGAACCAATGGGTCCACGATCACCAGATGGACCTAAAATAAATATATTAATAATATAAATATTAAATCCAAGTTATCTCTTATAAAGAAATATTATATTGGTACAACTTTAACAATAAACCTTTAGGGCCCATAGGACCATCGATTCCGGGCAAACCACGTATTCCTGGCATGCCACGTTCACCAGGTAATCCAGGTGCTCCTATCGGGCCATGTAATCCTCTCTTTCCTCTTTTTCCTTCGGGACCAGGTGGTCCTGGAAAGCCACGTGGACCAGGTGCTCCTTGATCTCCTTTTGTTCCAGCATCACCTTTAAAGCCTCTTTCACCAGGTAGTCCCTAAATGTTTTTTTTTTACAATATAAAATTATATACAATACAATCAATTAAATGTATTTATAATAAATAAACAAGTTTACTTACAGGCATTCCTTTAACTCCTGGTAAACCAGGATTACCTGGTATACCAGGCTGTCCACGAGATCCAGGAAAACCAGGTAAACCAACTGAGCCAGGTGTTCCTGGACTTCCTTTTTCACCAGATATCCCATCTTTTCCTTGTAAACCTTGCGGACCAGATTCTCCAGGCTGTCCTGGGCGTCCTGCTTCGCCTGTTTGAAAATATTTATGTGAAATATAAAATTTTATTAAAATAAATGAAAAATCGTACATACCACGTGGACCCTGTAAGCCTTGACTTCCTTTTGGACCTTGAGCTCCTTGATCTCCTTTAAATCCAGGATTACCTGGGAATCCAGGTGGACCGGGTTTACCTAAAGCACCCTGTAATATTGTATAGATCAAAGCATATAAAAAAAGGTGCTGTATATATTAAAATTTATATTAAACGGTTCATTATAGATTACTTACAGATTGACCTGGTGGTCCAGGAAGACCATCGATTCCTCTTATTCCAGGTGGACCCGATAATCCTTCCCTGCCTCTTTCTCCGCGTTGACCAACAGGTCCCTGAATATATGTATATGTATATAATATGATCCTACTTATATGTTAAAATATTATCCTCATTATTTTATTTGATATTTACCACTGGTCCTATAGGTCCCATTGGACCAGGTGCTCCTGTAGATCCTTTTTCTCCAGATATACCTTGCTCACCTTTAGCACCATCTAATCCCGGAAAGCCACGATGTCCTTTTACACCTGGTATACCAGGCATTCCAGAAAGTCCTCTTGGACCTACTGGACCTGGTGATCCTGGTGGACCTATTTCTCCATTCTCACCACCTTCACCCTAAACGTATTTACATAAATTAATGTATATATATGATTCACTTTGAAAATAACTTTGATAACTAATATTCGACTTACATCCCTTCCTGGCAATCCTGGCAAACCTCGTGGACCAGGAGCTCCTGGTGCACCTGGTAATCCTGGTTCTCCAGGTTCTCCACGAAGACCTTGAAAACCTTGTGGACCAGGTGAACCTGCTGGTCCTAAAATAAAATAAAAATATATACTTTTTCTAATGTTAATTGAAGATTTGTACAAAAAAAAAAAAAAAAAAAAAATTGAATATATGAGAATGTAATTTCTATTACCTGCAGGTCCTCGGGGACCAATAGGACCTACATTAGTTTGAATATAATTTGGAATATATGCAGCATCCGATGGACCTTTATCCTCACTCGCTTGAGATAATGCAAGTTGTTGATAGTACATTGACACCTTCAAAATGATATCGATCATGATATCTTCTGCAAAATAATATCAATAATTATTAAATACGATTATGTTACATCGGGTAAAGGCCCAGGTGGTCCAGGTGGTCCAGGAATTCCAGGTGTACCCGGTTGTCCAGGAAAGCCTACGTCGCCTGGTCTTCCACTATCGCCTGGACGTCCAGGTTGTCCCTGTTGTTAAAATCCGTCTTAAAAAATATCGTTAAATAAGAATTTCATATACGTTAGAGAAATGAACTCTGTATATAAATACATAGATCGTATATTTTAAAATGATATCCATTAGATTACTCACACGTGGTCCAGTTATTGCCACGGAACTTATGTGATTACTTTCCCCGGGAATAATTTCCTTCGCTAACTATTAAATGAAATATATTCATTATAGTTTTTTTTTTTTTTTTTTTTTTTTTTTTTATTGACAAACTATTAACGTTAGAAGATTGTTTTAACGATCAGTTATGAAAAAAAAAAAAAAAAAAAAAAAAAAAAAAACAAATATCTCTTTTTTTCCACTTACTGAATTATAATTATTATAGGTTTCCATTGTCGAATGCAAATCTTCTTGATCGAATAATCGTGTTGTTGTTTGGGACGCAGGTATATCGGTAGGTAATTCTGATCTATATGACAAGGTCGATTCGATCATTTCTCTTCTACGTTCTGCAATTAATAAAATGAAATTTAAATACCGTACTTATTTAATTAATTGTACAATTATTATGAAATATTACATACCCGAATTATTGGTATTTGTTGGGGGGATAGATGACAATGATAATGGCGATGTTGCTGAATAGAAACAAACGCGTTAATGATATTAAAATCGGAAGACAAATAATTTTATTATTTAATCCCCTTAATTTGTGCATGTATATGTGTATATATAAAAAAAAAAGAAAGGAAGATAAACATAAAAAAAATAATATCTACTCTCCCAGTATTTAGTATTAATTTCTTCGACTTAATTAATAGTATTGGTATATGTATATCTAAGATCCAAAACGGAAATTGTATTAAATTGCTTATGAATTAATAGGACAGAATAAAAATATTAATTGCTTTTTATCAATTCGAACGATTAAATTAATTGTTTTATATGCCGCGAATTAAAGAGTGCGATATATCCTATTAAAAGACATCCGGTAACGTATGGGATACCAATATCCCGCTTTATAATAATTTTCTTGGAATTTTTTCATTATTAATTTGAATAAAATAAATGATCATAGGTGAATATCCATAAAAAAAAAAAAAAAAAATAAATAAAAGAATTATAATAACTATAATGATATTAAATTGAGAAAGGATCGGTTATAAATGATTTTTTGTTCAGCGTAATAAAATTAATATGATTTGAAAAGTATTTGGAAGGAAATAAAAAGGGGAGGAAAAAAAAAAGAGGAAGAAGAAAAAAACATTATTAATCTAATATAAAATTATCCTTCCCTTTTTAAATTCAATTAAATTTTTCCCCATTAAAATAACTCACCATTTTTATCCTCATAGTCCTCATAATTATCATAGTAATCGTATTCGGTATAATCACTGTTAACTGGTTTCTGAGATTGGACCTGCCTAAGTCGATGTTTCCTTTGCTTCGTTTTAACCGAATATATTTGGGGTAGAAATAAAAATTGTAAAATCAAAAGGCCAATGGCCAAATTGAGGTACCCTCGTTTCATCGAGGTGTCCTCTTTTATCGTTGGAAATATCAAAGAAATAATAGAAAAGAAGATAGAAGAAAAATATGAAGAAGAAAAAAAAGAAAAGGTGGAAGAAGAAGAAGAAGAAGAAGAAGAACAAGAAGAAGAAATAAAGCGAAGAACTCGTTCGAGATCCCTAGAATGGAGACTCTCGGCTCTGTTACGATGCTGATGGCGAACTAGACTCGTGACAGCCGTGTTGTCTCACATATCTATTTAGCAGATGCTCTCGGTAATAACTTAAGGGAGGTCATCATCCTCTAGTTTACAAGATGTAAGACGGTGTAACTCATACCGTCATCACCATAGTCGCTCCCTCCTTTTTTTCTTTTTCTTCTCCTTTTTCTTCTTCTTCTTCTTCTTCCGCATCCCCCGAGCTCATTCCTACATTTCAGTTCTCTTTACTATTACTTCTCTTCCTTGTTCTCTTTCCTTCTCCTACTCTTAGTCAATATATATATATATATATATATATATATGTATATAAAATGATACGTTTGAACGCTTAATTATGACCGATGATAAGAGGGTAGAAAATGACGTGGGTGAAACTGTAATGGTTTTGACAATGCGACCACTTCAATCGGATATTGAAAATTCTCGTTTCTTCTTGATACATCTTCTTGATACAATTTTTACTTTCTATCTTTTTTTCTCTTTTTTCTCTTTCCCTTTTTCTTTCTTAATAAATAAGACAATCTCGTACTGGGTCACAATTAAATATCAATATGATTTCTAATTGTCATAAAATATTGTCTCTTTCTATTTTAAATGTTTACTTATTTATATACATTCAATTTAATCCCTTAAAATTAACTCTTTTTTTCTTTTAATAAATAAGCAATTCTTCTTCTTCTTCTTCTTCTTCTTCTTCTTCTTCTTCTTTCTTTCCTTTTTTTTTTTGTCTTGTTCATTGAAAGTCATTTTAGAGTTTAATTCTAAATAGATGCACTTAAAAAGTAAATGCACTTTTATTATTTGCCTGATGACTTCATACGTCCTTGCTTTAAATGCAGATTTCAATCCAGAGCTAATCATAAGTAAGTCAAGCATGACCCAGTTTGCGCCTTGCGTTCTCCTTCCTCATTTTTATTAGACGGTGACATCTATACAGTACCGATAGACCAAGAGAAACGTCGTTTACATTTAATAACTTTATTAAATGACAATCATCATTTTGCCCGCATTCCACAAAGAGGCACGATCTTACTTTATAAAAGGCGATAACTGTAATAAACCACATTGACTTCTGTGTTCCTATTTTTCTTAGTTATAAAACCCTTATAACATAAATCGGAGTTGTTATACACCGTCTTTCTAATAAGACAATTGTGTAACGAAGAGAAATATAATCGCCCATGGATATTCTTTTATTACTTTTCCAAGAGATAATATTAATAAATTTTTCTCTTAAAAGATTCTTTTGATTATTTTCTATCATTTTGTGATCTCCATTGTAATAATATATATATATATATTTTGTTTTGTTTCTTTAATCCTTCATACGATTTAAATTATATCTTTTAACATAACACTATTATTTAATCAATTATTCCATTTTTTTTTTTTATATATATATATTTATCTTCAACTTCACTTTGTTATATTTATTATTAATATTATTATTTTATTTATTATTAATATTATATCTATTATTAATATTATTGTTTTATTCTTATGATTTAAGTTATAATATTTTTATTATAATTATTTTAAAATCATTTAAATATATATATATATATTTTTTATAAATAAATAAAATTTTATTATTCAATTAATTATTCAATTTTTTACTTTTATCTTTGGCCTCTTAGATAGAAAATTTGAAAATTAATAAATTTTCTTAAAAAAAAAAGAAAAAAAAGATAAAAGAACATTTCTATTTAATGACTTTATACTCCAACGTTTATGTTAATACTATGTCATCTAACAAGAGTATTGCATCAGAGATTGCTTGCGAGATGGCTGCATCAGATGTGTACCCTGATGAAAAGCACAGATTTTATCGGTCTAAATATTACCGATCTTACATCACATCTTGTTGCTTTAGTAATTATATCTAATGCATATATATATATGTATATATATGTATATATATATATACTTTAATGTATTGATATTATTGATAATACATTATTATTACATAAATATATTACACAATTCTTAATTCGTTTTAATATAATCAATTTATTTGTCAAAAAAAAATTTCAACTTATACATACACCACATCAGATGTTCTCATCTCTTTCTCTCCCTCTCTCTCTCTCTCTCTCTCTCTCTCTCTCTCTCTCTCTCTCTCTCTCTGCTTATATTGTAATATTTTATAATTTGATAACACATTCACGCTGATATCACTATCAACAAAATAATGTCATATATTATTTGTACTCAATACTGAATCAATCAATCAAATAGAGAAACATGCTTATATTATTGTTATATGAAAGTTACATCATTTTTCATATAAGAGAAAAAGATAAAAAGAAAACAAGGATACCAACAAAATAGATCATTAAACGGAACGTATTTATATAAAAAAAAAAAAAAAAAAAAAAAAAAAAAAAATCTAACTTCTCATCAATGAGCATGAAGATATGATACAATGAACTGTAACAATTTTATCTTCTTTTTCTTTTCTTTTTTTTTTCTTTTTCTTTTTCTTTTTCTTTTCTTTTCTTTTGTTCATACACAACCCATCACCTTAATTTCTTTTTTCCAAGTTAGAAATTATAAATTATTGCCTTACGTGAAACACACGTCGTTCGTCGCGCGTTAAATTTGTAAAAAAATATTATCGTGATAGGACACCCAAAGTGATTTTGTTCGGCAATCCTTCAAGTATTAATGCGTCACAATCAAAGTTTGATTAAATCTGCATTATAAATTTATCTTAATACAACGAAATAATGATAATTAATCTTCATGATTTCATTAGAGATATCATGATACCTAATCTATAAATTCCAAGTCATATTCAACGCCGTCTGCATATATATATATATATATATATATATATATATATATATATATATATATGTATAATATTTTTAATCGAATATGCGTTGCCTTATAGAATATTGTTACCTTAAATAAAATCGTAGTATGTTGAAAAAAAAGGAAACAAAAAAAAAATAAGAAAAAAAAAAGGTAGAAGAGAATAAAGATCTAGTCTATGTAAAAAAAAAAGAAAAAAAAAAAAAATCTCTTGGAAACTAATTAATATGCGTAGGAAACGTTGTTAAATCGAGAGTTAAAACTTTACTTTCCAAACATTCTCCAACCTGAAATAAAAAATATAAAATGAAATATTAAATATGTTATGATTAAAATTACAATGTTTATAAGTTAGTTTTAATTTTTCGACTTTTTTTTTCTCTCTCTCTCTCTCTTTTTTTTTTATACTATGCTTGCTTAAAATGACTATTACATAGTAATCTTCATAAGAAATGTAATATGCAATTTATAAAATTGATGCATATATATATATATATATATATATATATATATATATATATATATATATATATACATCATGTAAATAAATATCATGTAAATAAATATCATGTAAATAAATAAATAAATATTGTTAATTAGGGAATTATAATGAAAACTTACATCTGGACAGATCCCTATAAGCGCATCTGCATGCGAATAAAATTCTTCTTTTAACGATATAACAATAGTTTGTAAAGAGCTAGTTTTATCCCGAATGTAACTAGCTACTTTTCCTATATTGGTGTTATCTAAGGCTGCATCGATTTCATCCAAAACGAAGAAAGGTGCTGGCTGAAAGCTAGTGGGGGAGGAAAAAAAAAAGATCAAAGAAAAAAATTAAAAAGAAAAAATAAGAATAAAATTAAAAATAAAAATAAAAATAAAAGATTTATAAATATTCTTATTAAGTATTCTAATAAGTATAATAAAAATTTTTAATAGGATTACCTATGAATTGCAAATAACAAAGCCAATGCAGCTACAGTTTTCTCTCCTCCGGAGAGATTGGACATAGGTTGAAATCGTTTACCAGGTGCCACGCAATTGTAATTAATTCCATCGAGATAAGGCTCCTCTGGATTTTCTGGTCCAAGGAATGCTTGAGCCGATTGATTTTTTGCTAAACTCTATAATGATTTTAAGTAACAATACAAAAATCATTTGATGAAACCAACAATTCAATTCTACATATATATATATATATAAATAAATAAATAAATAAATAAATAAATAAATAATAATATAATAATTTTAATATTAACATTTATTATTATTATTTGTTTTTTACTTTTGTATATTTTATTAATTAAATATTTATTATTAATTTTAAACATTAACAAACCTTATAAATAGGATCTATTTCATTAGCTACATGTTCAAAGCACGCCATGAATCTATCATGTCGTTCTTTTTTCACTTTTTCAAATTGAGTTTTTGCCTTTTTTGCTTTTTTACGTGACTGTTCAAATTCCTCGTTCGTTTCTTGTAATTTTTCCTTAGCAAGATACAATTTTTGTATAGCCTAAAAAAAAAAAAAGAAAAACATATAAATATATTTTGATATTTTCCATTTAATTGTATCATATATTTATACGTTTCACCTTCATATTAGGGGCTTGTATTCGTTGAATTGTATTTTGCAAATCATTAATTGTCCTTGTCAATTTATCCGTAGTTTTTTTCGTATCCTCCTCTTCGATATCTTTCAAATTTTCTGGTAAAAGTGCATAATCAATAGTAATACGTCTTTCACGTTCATATTGTTGCTGTGTATTTAATGATGAATCAGTGACTGTTTCACTGGCATTAGTCGTACTAGTTTCTCCAGCAATATCTTCCATATTTCCATGAAGCATTGGAATTGCAATGTCTTCCATCTTAATAGAATCAATGAATATTATTAATATATATATCAATATTAATCAATATTAATATATATATATATATATATATATATATGAACTATCAGAAATGACATATTATCTATAAATAAAAAAAAAAAAAAAAAAAAAAAAAAAAAGATTGATACAATTACGAACCTTGCATTGCATTAAAACCGCATGACGTTCTGCCTTCTTCTGTTCTATTTTTGCTTCAATAGAATTCAATTGCTTTTGCGCTGATTGAATATCTTTCGCAATGGTACCGACTTCACGTCGAGCTTTACCTATCTCATCCTCTTTCTGATCGACCTCCATTTTCTTAGCATTGCGCGCCGATTTAAGCTGTTCCATTTGTGTCTCATCGTGATCTATTTCAGCCTTTTGATTAGATTCCGTTTGTCTGGCAGATTCTAATTTATCTTCGGCATCCTGAACTGCACGTTCCCATCTCAAAACATTGCCTGAATTATATTCATATATTAATATTCATATATATATATATATATTTTTTTTTTTCTTTTCTTTTTTTTTTTCTCCCCCATATTACAAACAAAAATGCATACTTTCTGTATCACGTTGTTTTTCAAAATCTAATTGATTGTATATACGATTACATTGATTCTCAAATTCCATTCGTTTCTTCGCCCTTTCCTGCTGCGACCTATTATAAAAAAAAAGAAAAAAAAAAAAAAAAAAGAAAAGAAAAAAAAAGAAAATATAATAACATTATTTAATTATATTATTAAAGTATATATATATGTGTATATATATATATATTACATATTATAATATTGTATTTATATGTATATATAAAAACCTTAATTCTCTTTCCTCATACTGACGTATGTTAGAAACACCAATTTGTTCACAAAAGCTTGCAAATACATCATCCTCAACGTTATTCATTTTTTCTTTAATATTTTGTATTTCTTGATCTCTTTCAGCCATTGTCTTTTCAATTGCAGCTATTGTAGGCTGTGTAATGAAATAAATACATATATATACATATACATATACATATACATATACATATATATACATCTATAATATTTATTAAAAAAAAAAAAAAAGAAAAAAAAACTAATAAAAAAGATTAATTTGGGATTGTTACTTACGCCAAACATATTTAGATCACTTTGTAAACTTTCCAATTCTGATTCGTGTTCGGCAATTTGTTTTTTCTATAAAACAAAAATTATGTAATAAATAAAAACAAAAAGATATCTATATATATATATATATATATATATATATATATATATATACACTTACATATATATAAATATTAAATGTAATAATACTCACAGTCGCTGTCAAATCACTTTTGTTATATTTTAAGCGAGTTTCGAGGCCACGAATTTGTGATTCGACGGTATTTAATTCGGATTCTTTGCGAGACTTCTTTAATGATTCTCTTAGTTCCTCTGTTAATTTTTCCTATAATAAAATGTACATTTTTAGATCTTATAGTGTTCTTAAGTGAGATCTTATAATGTTAAATTACACACACACACACACACACACACACAAAACATTGATAAAGTGTAACAATACTTTTTGTGCTTTTAATTGCGACATCTGTTTCTCATCCCATCTCTTTGCTTTCTTAGCTAAATCGAGACTACCACCAGAAATTATTCCAGCTTTTTGATAAAATGTTCCATCTAATGCAACGCACTAGAAATAAATCAAATAATTTCTTTATATCATTATATCATATAAAAAGTATGTCTATGTAAACAATATAATATATTTACATCATATCTGGCCTTTTTGTCCATTTCATAAGCAACCTTATTAGCATCTTCAGGAGTTTCACAAACAAGAGCATTATTCGTAGCAAATAATACAGCTCTGTCAATATCCTTTGGTGAAAAATGTAATACGTCATACAAAAGTTTCACATTTTTAGGTTCCTGAATATTTCTAAAATTATTATTAATGTATTAATATTAAATGATTGTTTCTAATATTGCAAATTAATTTAATAAAAAAATTCATTACCTTAGTCGTTCCTTCAAAGGTTTAGCTTGAATATAATCAAGTGGTAAAAATGTTTCTGGTTCCAAATATTGTTCTTTGAGATATTGAATACATTGTCTGGCAGTTTTTTCAGTATCAACAACGATAGCTTCCATATATTTACCAAGAACCTTTGTAATGGCAACATTGTAACGTTTATGAATCGGCTCGCACATATTATACATACGGTCATACTGCAAAAAAAAAAAAAAAAAAAAAAAAAAAAAAAAGAAAAAATTAGGTTTCCACAATAGAAGTATCATTTTGTTGAATATACTAAAAAAAAAAAAAAAACAAAAAAAAATTGTTTTCATACCACTCCAGGAAATAAACGTTTAAAGTTTTCCACAATTTCAGTCTTCTTCTTAGTTCTGGACACTTCGTGTTTGTCAACCTTTGCATCACCAAGTTGTTCCGAAATACTTTCCAATTCTCTTTGCAAATTTTGTATTTTATCCTTAGATGTACCAACGTCCGATTGTAAATCAGCCCTAAGCTTCTTTTGATCTTCCAATGCAGCTTCGGACGTTCTTATGTGTTCTTCTAATTTTTCTACTCTTTTCATAGCTTCATCTCGCATATGACCTTTTTGCTTATGTTTATTCTCTATTTCAGTTTTCTTTCTACCCTCATTATCGAGCCTATCTTGATCAGACTTTTGTTCTCGATTAATGGAATCAAGAAGTTGTAAATATCTTGCTGATTGCTTGCCCGCTTCTTCCTTCAAACGATTATATTCGCGAACCTAAAAATATCAATCAGATTTTGTTTTTTCTTTTTTTAAGTTATATTTATTTTTTTTTTTTTTTTTTTTTTTTTTTTTTATATATAAAAAGTATATGTAAATACTTGTTCATCCTCAAGCTGCACATCCCTTCCCTGTAACTGAGACTGTCCAGCTATACTTGCTTCATAAGCAGCTTTGGCTTCTTCGACCTGTCGAAGTTCTTCTTGGAGTTCATGTATGTCCTTTTTATGAGCCTCATCGGCGATACGTGCCTGTGCCAATGATTTTCTAGCTGATTCGACTTTTTTCTGCATATGTGCTACACGTTCCTTCGCTTTAATAAATGTTGGTCTTTTTTTTGTAATCTCTACTTCAACTTCCCTAATGTCCTGTTCTATTTTTGCCAAATCACGACCCAATTTGCCAGCTTCCTTTTTCTTCTCTTTCAAAAGTTCCTCCGCCTTTTCCTTCTTCTTTTCAATCTTTTCTATCTCATGTTGTTTCTTTTTCTGTGCTACTTCCAAATTTTCAATACTTTTTTCATTATGAAAAAGACGAAATAATTGCAGCTCAACTTGCTTCTCTATCTAAATATCGTAGAATCAATAATTAATTAAAAATGATAAATAATATTTAATTAATAATATATAATAAAAATTAACATACATATTCCTCCTTAAGACGTTGATATTTTTCTGCTTCTTCCTTTTCCAATTTAGCCTCTTTTCTTTCTGCAGCAATGCCTTTCTTTTTTTGATATGAAAATTGAGTTTCCTCTTCGGCTTTTAACATTTCTGTTCGCAATCTAAAAAAAAAAAAAAAAAAAAAAAATATAAACTCACATTGATTAATATTATGCATTCCAAGACAAATGAAAAATATAATAATTAATTATTAAAGTAATCATAGACTTTACCTTTCATATTCTGCCTTTAAGGCACCAGAATTACTAATTTCTTCAAATAATGCAGTACGTTCCTTTGGATTTTTCATAGCTATTGATTCAACGGCACCTTGAAACACTAAAAAGTTTTTAGCTTTTACATTAATTCCTAATTGTTCCAATTCATTCAGATAAACTTGACTTGTGACGACCTATTATAAAAAGAAAATAATAAATCAGAACTCTATATTCTAATTAAATAAGAATGATTTATTATAAACGTTTTTTTTTCTTTTTCTTGTTTCTTTTTCTATTTAATTTATCTTAGCTTATTGATATTTCTCACATTATTATTAATTCTATGCTCAGAAGAAGATCCTTGAACGGAACGCATGAAACTCTTCTCATTACCATCTTCTAATTCAAATACTGCTGTTACAGATGCACTATAACATAAACGTGCAATTAATTATTGTAACAATGAAAAAAAAAAAAAAATATATATATATACAGTAAATGTTATTATAAATTATTAATAAAAATAAATTTACCTTCTTGCTACTGGCATTCCTATTGAAGCACCATGGATAAGTTCACTAAATCTTTTAACCCGTAAACTGCTAGTCTTTTCTCCCATAACAAAACTAATTGCATCCATAAAATTGGATTTACCTTGAAGTCAATAAAATATATCAAATATCGTCGTACAGCTGGGTCTATTGTCATACATAATAAAAATGTTGATATACAAAATCATAACCTACCGGATCCATTTGGTCCGACAACTGCAGTAAACGATTTCAATGGACCAATGATAAGCTTTCCTTTATACGATTTAAAGTTTTCTACTTCAATATGTTTTAAAAACGCAGGCATTTTAAAAATTATTAAAATAAATTATATGTATCATCAAAAGAGTTCAATTGGCGCCACAAAATGTTCAACACAAGCGAACATTGTTCATCAATCTGAATCAGTCCTGCCAACTTTTTTTAAATCATAATACGATGATGCTTGATAATTATATAAAAACGTTATAAAAGATAATAGTAATTATATTGAAATTATATATATATATATATATATATATATACAATTTCGTATAAAGATAATAATTTATATAATTATATTCTGATTTATTTCCATCATATATTATATTAATACATACAATTGAGTCAACGTGCAATATATATTATTATATTATTATTCTTGATATACTTGTTGATTCATTGATCAAAAAAAAAAAAAAAAAAAAAAAAGAATAAAAATAAAAATAAAAATAAAAATAAAAAAAAAAGTTCTCAGAACTCACATTAACCTTAAAATTATCAATATTCACAGATAATAAACATTTTATTATATATAAATAATATATGTTTCATATTGTTTTTTATTCTATCAAATGTTTCAAACAAATATATTAACAGAAAATTTTATAAATAATAAAAGATATGTTTTTTATCTATGGCAAATTATAATAACAAGTGTGTAGATGTTGGGAAAAAACAAACAAAAAAAAAATAACCAACTAAGCTAGTAAGAATATTACTATATATATATATATATATATGAATAAAAGAAACTTTTCATAGTTTTTAAACTTTAATATGTTCGGCTAAAGAGCAAGAAAGTCCTGTATTATCTGGCTCAACATTAAGTTCTTTTACAATTCCATCCTCAACGACCATTGAATAACGTTTGCTTCGTTTTCCACCTAAGACTGGTAAATCAACAGATAGTTCTAAAGCATCAGCAAAGGCACCATTTGGATCTGCCAGCATTCGTACCTATAAATTAGAAAATAATAAATCAAATATAACATGCATATATATATATATATATATATATATATATATAAAATAATTTATAAATAAATATAAAAAGCATAGGAAATTAGATTTAAGTCATTGTATACCTTTCCTGATGTGCCTTGTTCCTTACCCCAGGCAGCCATAACAAATGCATCATTTACACTGACACAGTAAATATCATTGATTCCCTTACTTTTTAATTCATTAGCTTTTTGAACAAAACCAGGCAAATGAGTCTAAATAAAAGAGATAAAATTAATACAAGAATATATATATATATATATATATATATATATATATATATATGTATGTATGTTTTCATAAAAGGATATAGAAAAAAGAAATTGTACCTTAGAACAACCTGGAGTAAAAGCACCAGGTACTGCGAAAATAATTATTTTCTTTCCGGCACTGAGTTTTGCTAGATTTACTTTATTAGCCGGAGTATCCTCGAATAGATCAACCGACGGTAATTTGCTACCAACCTAAATAAAAATAATAATTAATGTTATAAATATATTATTATCAATAATAAATGTTATCGTATAAATGAACGATTTCTAATATTATTAATATTAAAAGAAACATTATTATTCTATTCAATAGTTAAATATTTAATTCTCTTTTTATATTTATTAAATTTAATGACACACGTCGTCAATAATTAATTAATTAATTATTCAAAAGATATTTTTATGTTCATTTGAATCTATTAATTAGAAAAGACAAAAAAAAAGAAAAACAAAAAAAAAAAAAAAATAATGAGAAAGAAAAAATTAAATTAAATCTTTTATTAGAAAAATTTTATATTAATAAATTGTAAATTATTTTACAATTTGGTATATTATCTCTCTCTTTCTCTCTCTCTTTTTTTCATTTTGTAATTATTAAATAAAATTGAATGTACATTTTAACTTACAGTGATAGTCATGTTTCGCAACGATAAATGAAAATTTCGAACGAGACAACCTAATGATGACTTATCGCGAACAGTAATGAAACGTTTTACGATTTGATTCATCTGTTTAAATGAAAAAAAGTACTCCTGTTAACGAAATATCACTCAGTATATCAAGATATGTATATTATCGATCACCACAAAAGAACGATATCGCACGAAAACACTTGACTTCTCTAAATGAAGCCGGCAGAAAATCTTCTATTGCGCAATGTCCTATTATATAAAACATATAGGAATATTCATTGAAAATAACAAATAAAAATAATCATTTCTTCCATCATTCATTTTATTTACGTAGTGACGATGATATATATATATATATATATACATATACATATATTTTTATTTATTGATTTTGTTTTTTTTTTGTCCTAAATTTGCGTTATTCATTTTCATTCAAATATTATTTATTATAAAGTCAATTACACAATCACTTGTGTTGGACAATTTATAAAGATGGTGAACTTTGTTATTGCACAAAGTTGAATAATTATGCTTATCGGCATATACATGATTCATTCTAATATTATTCGAAAAGTTTAGTGTTCTTTTTTTTTTCTTCCCCTCCATAAATTAATTCCTATGTTATAAAGATGAATATCATAAAAAATATTGACATAAGGGATTAATATAATTTAAGATATAATATGAACAAGTGTAATAGGAAAACATTGTCCTCATTATAGGTCCATTGCATCGATATATGAGTTTGTATATATCATATTTATTACCGTTTAACCTAACAAATCGATCGATGTACAATAGTAATATTAGTACGTAATAATTATAGTAGTAAATTTGTGATAAGTAAGAAAAAACTATATACCAGATTTTTCTGAAGATGGTATTAATTGAAAAGCGTTTATAATTTTAAAAACTTCATAATTCATATCTAATGATTATTTAAGAAAAACGAATGATCGATTAGAAGAAAAAAAATATAACGAAAATATGTTTAATGGTTAATAGTCAGATCGAAACAATGTTGCCATCTGCAACTTTTATAATTAGACTATCGGTCGGTTAAGTAGGATCCTGTTTTACCATCAGTTAGTAAAAGTAGGAAAAGAAAATCATATATCAGAAATATATTATAATTTTCTCCGCCGTAAGTGCAACTATCAATACCGGGAAATATATCTAAGCGAGAACTTTTTAAATTGTTTTTCAATAAATACCGAGCTATAAACAGAAACTTTATAAAAATTAAAAAAGATTAACTTAAAGTATATATGATGTTAAATAGTTTAATGAGTATAATTAAAAAATCTCAAAAATTTTTGAAACTCAATATTTCGATAACATTATACCAGGTAAAAGATTTCAGGATATAACAGAATTTCGTACGAATTAACAATTTTGTAAAGTCAATATGAAAAATGAAATAAAAAGAAAAGCGAGATTATGAGAAATGATAATGAACGAAAACAAAAAAATTGCTTCGCTATTGGTCATTGTACCTCAATCAATATTAGATATATTTTATGGATGTATGATCACGTCTCAAACTAAACATACACTGCTCACTTACATGAAAATCGGCAATGGAAGTACGAGCTTCTCTTTTGCCGCCAAGTTTCAGGTGTGCCAATATACGAAACTTTGTATTTCACAAAGACAGTGTTTATACCAAGTGGATCAAGATAAAATTTTCAATTAATTTTCATGGGCAGAATTACGTTTTAAAAAATAAAGATTTAAGAGAGAACGAAAAGCTTAATTTTTATGCATAAACTATTTTTGTTTTATACAAATTTTTTTTTTTCAAGCAAAATAAAGCTTTTCGAAAACTTCGAAAAAAATTCATGTCAAAGACGGTTAGGAATTGTAAATATTTTTAAATCATTATAAAATTAAAATTGAGAATAACTTTATCATTGGTTAAGACGCAATGATTCAATACCATATTTGTATTGGCTTATTGCAGATTTTCAAGAAATTAAAATATATTTAAAATGCAAAATACAATAATCTCTTTTAACTTTCATTAATTGACAATTTGTAATTAATAACAAGGATCATCATTTTATTATTTAAATATTAATTTTTCTGAATTCATTTCTTTTTTTATTTATTTTCCTTTTCTTTTCTTTTTTTGTTTTTTTTTAATGCACATTGGTTGGCAAGGCTGCAACGTAATTAGTATTTGTATTTGTATCTGTCTAATAATTCAAAGTGTGTTTATTGTTTATAACTCTTACCACTGTGGTTTTTAACGTATAGCTTGAAATAATTTAATGAATAATGCATGAGTGAAAAGTGTATCGTTTCATCATTAAAATGACAGAAAGTAATACGGCTATAAAGTATACTGACGATGAAGCGTTTCTTCTGTCACATAGTATTGAAAAGTAAAAATTATTTGTTCTTTTTTTTTTTTTTTTTTTTTTTTTTTTATAATGTCTATTATAATTCTGTCGTAATAAGATGTAAATTGTTATTGAAATGAACATTCTTTTGCAGTATAAAAAGACATAAAAAAAATAATGCAGTTGATTCGTCAACGTCAAAACAAATTTTTAATGAAGATGATAGACATTCTGATATATCACTTGATGAATCCTTTAAACAGGTATGAAATATTTGTTTGTAAGACAAATTATAAATGATTTAAAATATAACTTATTATTAAGTATCAATCGAATATATATATATATATATATATATATATATATATTTATATGTATATAATGTATGTATATGTATATATATGTTTTAATATTTGTATTACAGGTAACCCATAAAAAAAAGAAAAATATGGAATCAATAGAAGCTGTCAATGAATTTATAGTAACATCAAGAACACCAACTCGTTTATCGCATAGCTTTATACAATCCTGGGTAAATACTGGTTATTTACCATATCAAGCATATATAAATAATGGTGAATATTCTGGTACAGGTTCGTTGAATCCAAAACTATCTTCTTATATAACCTGTGATATACCTAATGCCACATCTATATGTAGATCAAACGGTAAAGAGCTATGTAATAATAGTTCAAATTGTAGTTCTGTTGATACTGCTGCATATATTTTATCAAATACAAATGTTAAAAAAAAAACAGAAACCGTTGCTATTATTATGGATACTAAATGTTCTAGCAAAATTTCTTTTCGAAATGCATTACATGGTAATATATCCTGTGAAAATACTGAGACACCAGTTATGCAGGATAAGTTGAATAACATTGTTGTAGATTCCAATGTTTCTACGAGCTTATCTGCATTAAACAAGTCTAATGCTAATATAAAACATTTGAAAAATCAAAGATTAGAAAGTAAGAATCTAATGGAAAAAGAATTACAATCAACAATATCCCATAGTGAGGATGACAATGAAAATGAAATTTGTGAAAATAACAAACAAGGAAATGATATTAATTTTAATAATAAAAGAAAATTTATACAAAATACAATGAAAGAATCTGTAAATGTAAAAAAGTCACTAAGTCTTCCTTTTGAAGGTTCCTTAAATGATTTAAGAAATATTCGACAAAAGAAATTGTACAGCGGTAGAGATTCTCCTACTGATATCATAGTAGCACGATTTAAGGAAAATGATATAAATGAAATGAAAAAGGATTTACATCCTGCCTTTAGAAGTAGTCCACCTATTGAAAAGGCACAAAAAAAGATATTGCAGAAAAAGAGAAAAACTAAATTCTGTTTAAATAATTCTCTGAATAAATTTATTAACATTAGTGGAAGTAGTGATATGGATAAAGACATGCATGTAGCAAAACGTCAAAGGATTACCACAGATATTGCAAAAGATATTCCAGGAATTTCTCAAAATTCAGTAAATGAGAGGTTATTTATGTCATGTAATGCATTAAAGGAGCAAATAAAACGTTTTTCAATTTCTGATTATATTATTGTTAAAAGTACGAAACAACAGGTTACCAAACTTAATGAGAAGAAAACATTTGGAAAAAGAGAACAAAGTAAAAATAATATTAATTTAAATTTACATAATGCATTGTTACATGAAAATCTTAATCCTTATATTATTTTGGAACGTTTATCAGAAGAAACTTTGAAACATTACACGAGAAAAGAAGAAAATACGTGTATTCAAATTGAAGAATTAAAGGAAAATGATCAGATTGAAAATAGGGAAAAGGATATGGATGAAAACAATATTGAAGTACGTTCAAATGATACAAGAAGCACAATTGTCCTTTCTAGACAAGGAAATATAAATATAGATATTGTTGATAGTGATGTAAGTACTATCATTATCTACAATCGTAAGGATTTATCATCTAGTAATCATCCTGAGAGTGACTGTTCAACTGTTATATTAAATACTTCTTTATATTTATCAAATACTAATAAGACGGATAATAATCAATCGGATGAAAATTTAAATGATATAAAATTGAAACGATTGCGACCTGTTGTAGTCCTTGAACAGATACAAATACAATTAAATCCTCAAATTTCAAATGAGATTAAACAGCCTAAAAAAATTGTCAAACGTAAGAATGCGAAAAGAGAGAAGCGCAATAGATCAAAGAAAAATTCAAAACGCATGTCTTCGTCCATTGACAAAAGAAAACAAATGATAAATTATAATTCGACTAGCGTGCTTTTTGACAAAATATTACAACCAGTTGTTGTATTAGAAAAATGTATAAATCTTGAGAAACATGTTCAAAATCAAAATCAAATTCATGATACCTCCAATATATATGATACAATACGTGCTACATCATCTAAAGAAAAACAATTAACTAAATTGACAAATATTGATAATAAATTGTTGAAGAAACCGATTGTTAAATTACAACGTTTGCCATTGATGATTACAGAATATATAAATAAGCTCTCAGAAATGTATAATAGTACTGACAAACAATTGAATAAAAGTGATACATCGGACAAAAATAATAAACTTAATAAAGATTACGTTAAGAGAAATAGAAGAAATTTAAATGATGAGAATAATATGTCTACAGGTAATTCAAGCATAGATAGCTCAGAGAAAATGGAACAAATGAAAAAGAGGAGGGAACGTAGAAAAAAATTTAAACATAAAAAAAATTTGCCATTCTTTCGTACTTGTGAAAATTATTCCGATTCTCATTTAGATTCTGATACGGATTTTGATTCAGATGTACCGCTTATACATTGTATTTTTAATGTTTATGATGAAAAATATCAAAACCGATTAAGACGGAAGTGCAGCGCAAGATCAAAATTTAATCAACAATGCATGTTAACTGATAATACCGATGAAAAAAATACATCAATGATATCTAAACCCAATTCTCTTAAAAATCTATCTATTATAAAAAATATAAATAGTGTATTAAATCATTCAAAAAGTAAGAATACCAAAGTTAATATGACATGTTCTAATAAAAAACAAGATAAAACTTCAATGAATAATATAACAAATAAAAATAATAATTCCAAACGAAAAAACAATATAATTGAGAGTAATGATGAAACATTTGATGTTAATAAAGATAGTATTAAAAGATTTACTTTCTGTACAAAAGCGTATGACTCTGATTCAGATTGAAACTTAGACAAATATTAAACAATTCATCGATTAGAAATACAGATTTTGAGAATAATTAATTAAAGAATGTTTATTAGGAAAGAAATATCATAATAATCATTAATATTAAATATATTAATTGTATTCTTTGTAATTGTATTATCGAAGTAATATGTACATCTATTATTAGACTATACATTCTTTAATATTGCCGAATATAATAAAAATCACATCACAACAAAATCAGCCATTTTGTGTAATAAATAAACATAATAAGAACGAAATTATTTATAAAGCAAAAGTATGATATAAATTAATATAAAGTGAGAAGAGATTTGATTGAAGGAAAAAAAGAGATAAAGAAAAAAGAAACAAAACAAAACAAAAAAAAACACAAAAAAAAGGAAAAAAGAAAAAAAAAAGGAAAAAAGAAAAAAAAAAGAAAAAAGAAAAAACAAAAAAAGTAAAAATAGACTTTGTCTCTTACTTATCTCATTGCTACTCCTAATACATGCCGACCGGTTAATTTCAAATGGAAAATCTGAGAAACTGGCCGTCCATTTAACGCAATCGATTTTGATTTAATGCATTTGAAACCTGCGCCTTTGATTTCTTTCATAAAGTCGTAATTCAAATGACAATTTCCAAACAACGAGGGCCACAAACCAGATCGCGTTAACAATATTTGAAGCCAACGTACGATATAACCTTTTTTTTCGGGAACATGCTCCATAAAAATATATTTTCCATTCTGAAAATAATAAATGCACATTGTTAAAAATGTAATAGTAAGAAAAGAAAAGAAAAGGAACGAACGAACGAACGAACAATACAGAAATTTTTATCGATAAAATAATTTCAATAAATTCGATCGAGATCACGTTTGAAAAAAAAAAAAATTATATATATATATATGCATACGTTGAAAAATCATTTATCGCAATTCGGATTTATGAATCTTAACCAATAAAAAAAAATTCGTTTCGACGTTAACCTTCCTCAATCGTTTTTCTTTTATTTTTTTTTTCTTTTCTTTTCTTATTTACAAAGAAAGGGCTAATTTTGTATGGCTTTTTTTTTTTTTTTTTTGGAATATGTTACGATATTCTTTTTTTTTTCTTTTTTTTTCTTCTTTTTTTTTTTTAAATTTATTATGATAAATATAAAATTATACTATAAATATGATTGGTCGAACGGATTGTAACCATCAACCAATCCTATTATCCGATTGGTCGATAAACTTATTTCCTTTATTTAATATCTTTACGATCGTTATAACCGTTAGAAACTAGTTATGTACATAATTTAAATCAAATGAGACGCATTATAATCTTACCGGTGCAAGTATCCTTTTGATTTCATCGAACGTGTTTAATGGTGATTTTATCGAACAGAAAGATCTAATCGATACGACTACATCGACCGTTCCACTTTTTATTTGTTTTAAATTACTACCATCGCCAATTATAAGACGTTCGACGTTAATATGCCCAAATTCCAAGGTACGATTTTTATCGTTAAGATATTCGGCTAACCTTACGTTCCAATCAACACCGATAAAGTGAGTATTGTTTGGATAAAATTGAATATTATCGCCTGCAAATATTCTTTAGATTAATAAACAATAATTTCTTCGGTGTATCGTATCGAAAAAAAAAAAAAACCACGAAAATTACAAAAGCATTTATTTTCGTATTATTTCAACTATTGAACTATTTTTAATTTTGAGAACCATTAATAACGAACTTTTCAAAATTATGCATACTTTTCATATATATATATATATATGAAATATATATATATATATATACACACACACATATATTTGTGAAAAATTCGTTATTAGTGGTTCTCAAAGCTAACTAATTGAATAATATGTATAATACAAATGCGATTATTAATTCTTTATAAAATAAAACAAGATTTTCCAATAATAGATCTTAACTAAGAAGCTATTGAAATAAATTAAAATATAATTAAACGAATTAATTACATAATTATAACGATATATTAAAAAGAAAATCTATCATAATTGGCTTTCTATTAACTTTTTAAAATGATCACTGATTTATTATATATGTATATATATATATACGTATACAATTTTGTATTTTGTACGTGTGTGCGTGCATGTGTGTGTGTGTTTGTGTGTGTGTATGTGTGTATACAATTATGCACCTGTTTTAACGCCTATTTCGAGCAATCTAATGCATCCCATAGATTTTAATAATTCGTCGTTCGATACTATTGTTTCAAGTATTTTAAATAATTCCTTTTTGTAAGGGAACGCAAGCTCGGCAAATTCCAATTCGAAACCAACGAGATATGATTCGTAAACGATCTCGCATAATTTCATCCAATTTCGAACGATCATTAATATTAATATAAAAATGATTATGATTATTTTCCCATAGAATGTCGCAGTGTCTCTCAACCATAAATCACTGTTACTCATGATTCGAATATATATATATATATATATATATATATATATATGTATATGTATATATATATATATATGTATATGTATATATATATATATATATATATATTTATTTATATGCAATTACGTTTATATAGGTAATAACGACACAAAAAATATATTTTATATAAATTTCTCAATATATGTATATATTTCTTTTTCAATATAACGTAAGATGATTATAAAACACTTTTCATGCGTTCCCGAGAGAATTCAAATATATACTGAAGAATATTAAACATTGAGCACTCGATAAGATAAGGATTACAAAGTTCGCGATGGAAATATTTATACATAATGTTCAATTTGAATTACGCATTTTTTAATGAAAATATTTGCACTTTTGATCTTGGCTTTTTTTCTTTTCTTTTTTTCTTTTTTCTTTTTTTTTTTCCTTTTTTATCCTTCCTTTTATTATGTTTTTCTCGTGACTTATACGATTTTCTGTTAATAAATAATAAAAGCGATACCGATATCGATATTAAGTGGATTCTATTGATAACAATGTTGCAACGACAAATATAAAAGATTTAAGCGCATTTTTTTATCCTTTTTTTTGTTTTTCGTATTCATTTACTTATTTCTTTTGTTTTTTTTTCCTCCTTTTTTAATAGTTAAATCGCATTGCCAGTGATTTAAAAAAAAAATGTTGAAACGATCGTTTATATATATATATATTTGTTATTATTAATTATAAATATAATATTTATCTTTAATTTAATATATTAATAATACTTTGATATTTAAGATAATAATATTATTATAATATTTAGTTTTATGTATATATCTATGTGTATATATATATATATTTTTTTTAATATTATTATAGTACACACATTATATATATATATATATATATATATATTTATGTATATATAATATTTATTTTTAATTTAATTTAATTTATTAATAATAATTTCATATTTAAAATAATAATAATAATATATATATGTTTTTGTTCATATAAAAAAATTAATTGCTTATTCATCGTGTGTTCAACTGACATAATAGATATATATATATATATATATATATAGAAAGAGAAAGAGAGATTTCGCGTAATTTAAATATTTTTCATTGCTCTGAGTGAGATCGAGTAGATAAAACAAGGATGCGCTTCGTGCTCAGCAATAAGCTACACCAAGAAAAGAGAGAGAGAGGAGAGAGAAAAAAGAGAGTGAGAGGGAGTTCCTCTCTATACTCTTGAAAGATTTTCACCTTTCACGCGTTTAAAATGATAATCTTTTGCTGAGGCTAGCATTTCCCTGAGGGCGTTCAACAACTTCACATTGGAAAGAGTTGTCGTTTGCGATAGAGAGTAAAGAAAAGAAAGGAGAAAAGAAAAGGAAATGGAAGAGAAAAAGAAAAGATAAGAAAGAAGCAAATTATAGAAAAAAGAAATACAATCGGATTTGTCATCTTTCGTTGTCTTATATTTGAAAAATGAAGAAAAGAGAAACGAAAGAATGAAAAATGTGTAACAAAAAAATAATCCTTTTCCAGCGAATTTTCGTTTTATTAACGAAATAACGGCAGATGCTTGATGATCGTTAGATTGTTAGATCGTTAATGATCTTTTTGTGTATACTACCTACGTGTTTCTCTCTCTCTCTCTCTCTCTCTTTCTCTCTTTCTTTCTCTCTCTCGTTTTTTTTCTTTCTTTTTTTTTTTGCTATTAAAAGAAACGGACACATAGGGGAAGGGACGAACGATTACGCAAAGTGTGACGGCATTTAGTCGGACTAATTGCGCGCGGCGGCGACTTTTATAGTAATTTGTGTACGGGGGTTGTTGTCGTCGTCGACAAGGGTTGGGGGCGAAAAGTGCGACACATGTGACGTTGCGTTAACACGCAATACATCGGCATATTAAACACGGTAAAAGTAATCTACATGGACGACATATGTTTCATCTTTAATCTACTTCGAGATATATCCTGATCTGATATCTATTTACATGCTATACTATATATATATATATATATACATATATGTGTGTATGTATATATATATATATATATATTTACGTGCGTAATTACGTATATAATATATTTAAAATTAAGTTAGCTCTTATAATACGATTTGTGATAAGCAAATATTTCATTCAATTTTTCTTTTTCCATTTTTCTTTTTTTTCCTCACCCCGTATAATATTTTAAACCTCTCGCTATGTAAAAAAATTTTAAACGTATATAAATCTGTCGTTCATTCATTGATTTTCACACGTGACACGTATATACTATATGTATCAAATATATATTATATCAAATATATTATAATAATATAATCTATACATACATATATATATACATACATATACGTAT